AACGTGCTCGAGCCATGGGCACGAAAATCTCGTGGAGTTGTCATCGAGACCAGCGTCTTGATACGCGTCAGGGGCACGGGTCCACCCTGTCGATAGGGCTTCTGTAGATCTATGTCGGCACAGCAGAGCGGCTCGCCGAGACGCAGAAACTGACGCAGCTCTGTGGGCTGCAACGCCTGCGCGGCCAGACGCTCCAGTATATACTGCATTGGCACATGCAATGGATGCTGCTCCTGGGCCAGGGCGCGTCGTGTCAGCCTAAGCAAGTGCTCGGCCAGTCCATTGTCACACATAATTTGCTGGTTGCGCTCACTGCGCACCAACGACTTGATAATCTCACTTAGATACACCTGCAGCTGGATGGCCTGTAACGGAGCCGCAGCGTGCTGTACGCCGGGCAGGAGCTGCAGCATGCAGATCACGACACCGGGATGCACGATGCGTGGCTCGGGTGCCGGCTGCGTCAGGTTCAGCTGGCTGGGGTGCACGGGCGGCGCCAGCTCCTTGCTGGGCGAGCGGGAATGCGGTGCACTCTCGCTGAAGAGCGTGATGACGCCACTCAAGTTGGGCGTCTCGAAGTTGTCCAAGGCAATGCTGTAGAGCAGCCGGAATACTACACAGATATAGGACAATGAGTTGGGCACATCCTCAGAGAAACTAAAAGCAAATGGAAATTGTCAAATGAAATAGTCGTAGTTAAGATTAATGTAGGAGCTCACCTGAAGCTCAGTATGTCCCCGCTAAATACGTCATGGTAATATTTGAGTAGCGTTTGCTGCGGCTCATAGTTGCCGGTGAAGTCCTGCAGCGTGGTGTCGCCGCCAAAGCAGCCCAGCAGACGCAACGTGTCGCACAGCGAGCTGTTGCAGATCTCCTGATGAAAGAACTTGGCATTGGCTGGCTCAAAGCGCATCGCTGTGGCCAGAGTCTGGCAGACGATTTGCAGCAAGAGTATGAGATCCTGTTGGGCAATGTCAGGCTGCGGCTGCGCCATGCTGCCATCGAGCGAGACAAAGACGCTGGTTAGATAGACAAAGCCGCCCACCTTGCGGAATACGGTGCGCGTGCGATGCGAGTCCTTGAGACAGCCCAGCAGCATGTTTAGTATCTGGATTTTGAACTCCACCTGATGTGGACTGATGCTGTGCATCAGCGAGAGTATATAGAGCATATCATCGTCTCCTCCGGCAGAGAGTATCAGCTCGCGTACAATGCCCAGCGCTTGGGGGCGACAATGCTTGTACTTGACCAGCTCATGGACACACTTTGCGCCGCCGTATTCGCGAAATAGTTGAGCATTGTTGCTGGCACCGCCGCCCAGCAGCATTGTCAACGCCTCCAGCACCAGTTTGCCCAGTGTATCGAGCAGATCCTCGGGCTCCTCAGCCGACGGCTGCACCACAAGCGAATCATCGCCATTTGTGATCTGACGCACATGCTCGGCATACCGATTCAGACAGCTCACAAATATCTCCAGTATGCCCACCTCGCGATAGACATCCTTAAAGACGCTATTGTGCCGCAGAATGTTGAGCAGTGTCTTCATGCAGAGGATGCTGCACGACGTCGACTGATTGTGTTTGAGCAGCAGTGACAAGCTGATTAGCTCCTTGCAAGGCACAAAATTCAATTGAAAGACTATAAACTCGAGCAGGTCATAGAACTTCTCTTGGATCTGTGGACTCTTCAGGTGGATGCGCTCGGCAAAGCTGCTCAACGTGTGCTCCGATTCGAGTATAAAATAATTGGCGTTCTCCGAGTGATAGACACGCGATATGGCATCCAAAATGGTGCAGCATAGCGCTGGTGTTGTCGACCTAAGGAAGACCGTTTGCAGCACCTGAAATGCATAGACATTCCGCACGCAGGTCTCGCGTGAACTGGCCTGTGGCAGCTGAAAGTTCTGCAGCTTGAAGGCCGTGTTGAATTGGGCAGCCGGCGGACGCAGCTCGTAGAAGCCGCACATGCAGAGTGAAGAGATCATTAGCACTAGGTTGCGTATCGCAGCCTGAATTTCCAGCGTCTGACTGCGCGCATTGTCGAATCTGTAAAGCATCATAATGTATTATAAAAATTAACATTAAGACGAATTAATTTACTTGAGCAGAAAGTCACTGAGAAAGACATAGCCCTGCGAAGCGCGAAAGTCGTCCATTAGTATCTGGGATACTTGACTAGAATCCTTGAGAAAGCAAAACACCGTGACGAACATTTCGACGATTTCCAGTGGATTGCCAAATGCCAAACGTTGCATGTTATCCACGCACAGCGCCATGCAGCCCTTGGCTAGAAGAGATATAAGAATCGTTAAATTAATCAAATGTATTCATATATTGATGTATATTATACTTACAATGTATATAGCTTACAACGGCATCGGTCAGACCATGCCTTGAGATGGTGGTCAGTATCTCGGCTGCATTTTTGCGCCACACAATATTCTGTATGGGGCAGGGCGAGGTGATGGCGGAGAACAGCAGCGTTAGATCATCCATGCGTGCCAGCTCCTCGGCTGGGTAGGGATACGAGCACAGCTTGACCAGCAGCTGTACGAATACCTTTTGCAAGAGGGTGCGACGTTCGTGTGCATTGAAATCGCCGACACTGGCGCCATCAGCGGGTGGCTCATCGTCCTCCACTTGGGGCA